GGGAAAAAAATTCTAACAGACATTCCTAAAAACTTAGTATGAGTCCACCAGAACATTAACCCTTTTGTTATGGTGAGGGCCCACAGGGAATATCATCATTAGATGACAAAGTCCATCTTTATTTGGAATAAAGAACTAGAATAATCTTTAGCCTAAGATTACTTTAGTTGTGCATAAGCCATGGGAAAGAAGTAGAGACAGAGAGAGAGACAGAGACAGACAGACAGAGACAGACAGAGAGACGGAGAGCGAGAGACAGACAGACGGAGACAGAGACAGGGAGAGAGACAGAGAGACAGAGACAGAGAGACAGACAGAGACAGGGAGAGGCAGAGACAGGGAGAGGCAGGAGACAGACAGACAGAGACAGGAAGAGAGACAGACAGAGACAGAGAGACAGACAGAGACAGGGAGAGACAGAGAGACAGGGAGAGACAGAAACAGACAGAGACAGGGAGAGGCAGAAACAGAGACAGGGAGAGAGAGAGACAGAGACAGACAGAGAGACAGACAGACAGAGGGAGACAGAGAGACAGAGAGAGACACAGAGTCAGAGAGACAGAGACAGAGTGACAGAGAGACAGAGACAGAGAGACAGACAGAGATAGAGACAGAAAGACAGAGAGACAGAGAGAGAGAAAGAAAATAAAAGAGTAGAACTTACTTTAATTACAGCAATATGGTCAAAAGAAAGTGCCCTTTCAGAAACTATTGATGTCAATTCACTTCTCCATTTGTGCCATATCGGATGAGAAAGAAGAAACATTCTCATGGTTCTTCCTTGTTTTATGTCAGAAGTTTCTGGAAATATTCCACATTGGTGAAGTGGCAACAGGACTCTCCAGTAGTTCAAAAAGGGCTGTGGATGTGTATAGCTGCCTGCCACTGGTCAGTATCTATAGTACAGTGAAACAGGCCTTAAAGTCATCTACTTTTTAAAAAGGATCCTAATGTGCTTAAAGGTTGTCTGAATGAATCTTCTATCTAATCTTTAAATATTCTACAGTATCCTGGGGCTGGAGAGATGACTCAGAGATTAAGATCACTTAACTGCTCTTGCAGGGACCTTAGATCACTTCCCAGCATCCATTTCACACAGCTCACAACTACCTGTAACTCCAACTCCAGGGGACTATGACACCCTTTTCTGGATTCTGTGGACACCAGCACCTCATATATGCACACACCCACACATGGACACACATATACGTACATGATTTAAAATAAGTCTTAAAAATAATTCTACATCTTGATAAGTGATTGTTCAGCACATACGCTTGGAATCGTCTGTGGCCAGATTCTCACCTCCTGCTGTGACTGATTTCCATAACCATATATAGCTAACTACTGAAAGCCAAAATGAACAATAAAAAGAATTTCCTAGGTTAGACCTGTGTATCTTCTGACAATGAATCTAAAAGATAATCACTTCTTCATTCTGCCCCCACTTAAATTCTTGTGTCTACAGCTTCATATATGAAAATATTTTTCTCTTCCATATTTATTTGATTTTAATATATAATCATTGTGACAAAGCTACATAGCTCATAAAAAACATGCTGTTCCAGTAATTCTTTGGGTGTCCATATTTTTCACAAGTACCTTCCTATGAGGAATATGCTAAAAATGACTACAAATTGATTAATATATGTGGTAAATAGACTCATATATGATTATAAACCTTTTGACATCAAAAGAAAAAAGTATTCTTAGCATTAACAGGGGAGTTTCTGAAACTCCTACAGTATCCAAAATACCTCTTGGGTAATTAAAAGTTGTAGTTTTGTGGTTGAGATTCATTCCTCATTCTCCAATTAGACATCATTGTTAGACTAAGTCTTAAGTGCATAACTATTTCCTTGCTCTTTACCTTGCTCATGTTTATATACCAAATAAAAGCTATGTTTAACTTGTTACTGAAGTTTCCTTTTCTGTTTATTTTCCAATGAAGACCTAGGTTTACTTGCACATTTTTTACGAGCATCAAATAGTAGGTGATCTTTCAAGCTTGAACAGCAATAGTTGTAATGCTGAGGAAGGATTTTTTGTTTCAAACTGTCTAGGTAATGATTTACAGATATTTTTGGTAATTCTCAAAATGACAGCTCCTTGAATTTTTCTATGTGCAGAAAAATTTGCTGGGCTAGCATCTTCAGACCCTGGGAGGCCTATCCCAGTCCTCAGCAAATGAGAACAAAGGAAAACTCCAGAAGGAACTGACCTGTCCGATGTTATCTTGTGATACCTGTGAATGTTTGATGAGGTTACCCCAAGTGTCTATGACCTCCTGAGGTCTGGAATTTGTGGGACAGGATAAACCTATGAGTTGGGTGAAATTACATATAAGCTTTGGGTATTACAAAACTAAGCTTGATAAATGATCCTTAGCAATATTTGAATTCCTTTAAAGACAACTTCCAATACTTTGCAATATTGTCTTCATATAATCCTTAATAAATGGATGTTAAAAAGTAGAAAGGATAAAAAGGGTAATAAAAATCATTTTTTACAATTACTGATGTTATCAGAAAATGCACGTCGGTGTCTGACTATTGGAAGGCATAAGCTGTGGGCAAAGGATAAAGAAGTAATAAAAGAAGGAAAAGAAAAACCATAATAGGAAGGAACAAAGCAGAAAGGCCATTTCTCGAAAGTGAAGGAAAGTATAATTAATACGCTTCAAAATCTTTAGTGGCTCTGCATTATCTACAGGATAAGTTTCAGACTCTTTAAGCTGATGTTTGATGAATTCTGTGATCATTCTAGACCAAATCTATATCTCTTGCATATCTCTGGATTATTTATTGACAACTCTTTGACCATTCCTATGTGATTCTTACCTTCTTGTCTTCCATCCATGATGAAATTCCTGTGTAGCCTTCAAGATCTGACCTCAAGGACTGTGCTTGCCCACAGATTTCTTTTACTCGGTTCACTTTCTTTCCACATCCTGGAAAAGCTCTTCCTTTCAGCCTGTTAGGAATGCAACCCATCTGTCAAGTGCCAGGTCAAACCCCATCCCTTTCATAAAGCCCTCCACAATGGTCAACCCCTGTTCTGTTCTACATCTCTTGAGTTTCGACAGCATTTTCCTTCTTAGGAATGTATTTATTGTCTTTTTTACTTGTTACTCTTTCCTGCATCTTTATTTTAATGTGCCAAAAATATGAAAATCTATTTATTTGTAATATTTTTAAAAATTTTTTAGAAGAAGCATTTCATTACAGCTTTAACATACTCAATAACAGTTTCCAGAGCAACGATACATCTCTTTCAAAAGTCGCTATAAATTTTTTAGGTTCACAGTTGAATTAATACAGTTATACAATATTGAACTCAGTATAAACCCTGTAATATTTTACTTATTATTTTTATTTTATGTGTATGAGTGTATTGCCTGCATGTATGTGAGTGCACCTGTGTGTGCAATGCTGCGGAGGTCAACCTTTAAAAAAGATCTTCATTTCATTTTAAAATATACTGTTTCTTACAGAAAGACTTTGTTTTTGCTAATAACACTGAGATGTTGGCGCATGCATCTCTAATCTGTCCTACATAAATCTTTTTACTCCAATTATACCATATCCATTCTTAAAGAAAGCCAAGAGATGGAGAGATGGCTCAGCTGTTAAGAATGCTTCCTGCTCTTCCAGAGGATCCAAATCAGTTCCCAGCACCCACATGAGGAGGCTCACAATGTTCTAGAACTTTAGTTCCAGGGGATCTAACACCCTTTTCTGGCCTTCAGGGGCACGCACGTGCGTGCACACACACACACACACACACACACACACACACACACACACAGACAGAGCATACAATCACACATACACATAAACAAGAATAGAGAGGTAATGCTTTATATACTAAACTCAGCTTAGCATAATGATTGTCCCTTCTGAATACTCATTAAATAGTGGTTGACTGATTAATGTAATTTGTCACCTTTATGCTAAGTTACTTTAAGCATTGTTTTTCCAAGAAAAAAACAATATAAATTCATATTTATGAACCCCATTCTGAGCGGCCACTATATCAATAGCAAGAGGTGCATTTTGGTACTAGAAACCTTGGAGATTCTTACTAAGATGATCCAAAATAGATTTTTTAAGTTGTCAGCGAGATAAAGCCAAAATTATTTCTCAAATCCTTAAGAATTTTCTTAAATATTCTCTTTTTAATAAACCCTCAAGAACTCAACTGTGGGGTCAAAAGAAAATGCCCAGAAATTATGATAAAGTCTATTAAAAGTCTTAGCAGTATATTTTAGCACTTCAATTTTGCTTCTAGAAAAATGCATTAAAAGGAAGTAAAGATTTGTGCAAATACCTTTAGCTACAGGGATATTCATTATAACTCTGAATGTACCAAAAGTTTAAAACCTAAGTAATAATATAATAGGTGATTGGTAAATAAAGTATATCTCATACAAAAGAATATGTGTTATATACAAGAATATCAAAGAATGTAGACAGATTTTCTTTTGTTTTGGTTTGGTTTGGTTTTTTGGTGCTGGGGATAGAACCCCAGGGTTTTGTGCATACTAGGCAAGTACTCTACCACTAAGTTAGATTCCCCAGCCTGATAGCCTTAAGATATTATGTGGAAAAAGTCTTTAATTATATTTTAAGGCACCAGAAATATATATTCCAAATGTTAACATTAATAATTTGTGAAAAGATTACATATTTCTAAATTTTCTATAACAAAGTTGCAATATTTTGTGTTAAGAATTTTTAAAAATTAAGGATATTAAAATTAACTTAAATGCTTAGCTAGTACCTATTCTAGTACTATATTCTATAGTCAAGAAAAAGTATTGCTTCTTCTTTTGAATTAATCATAAGACAAACTAAAGAAAGAATTTTTCCTCATTCTAGCTAACTTCTTCAAAACAGTGAATAAATGTCTTACAGCTAAAAGCAACCAATGCAATGGGACTGAGTGGAGAATTTCTTCCTTAGCTCATCCGTGCTCATAGCTCTTAATGTTGTTTATAGGTTCATGGGAAGTGTATGTGTAAGCACAACACAGCAGGCAGCCACTGCCAGCACTGTGCACCATTATACAATGACCGGCCCTGGGAGGCAGCTGATGGCAGAACAGGGGCTCCTAAAGAGTGCAGAAGTAAGTAGCAAGCTTCCACTACTCAAAAGCCTTCTTTGTAGAGTAAACTTGTCTGTGAACTCCTTGTTAACTCTTGAAACACAATAAAAAGTTGTGGGTGTTGGGGATGGAGAGATGGCTCAGCAGTTAAGAGCACTGGCTGCTCTTGCAAAGGACCCAGATTTGACTCCCAGCACCCACATGGCAGCTAACAACCATCCTCAACTCCAGTTCCAGGGGAATCCAACACCCTCTTTTGACCTTCATGGGCATTGCATGACACAGGTGCACTTACATGTAGGCAATACACTCATACACATAAAACAAAAATAATAAATATTTTTTTAAAGTTGTGCATGTCAGATACTATATACAAATATACAAACATAGCCCATATCATTGCACAGTGTGACTCCAGTTTGCAACACTGCCAGTAGGACTGACTGGCCAAGCATGTGCTGTCCATTTGCTTGGATACTTTGTGGTACCTAAATGCTCTCCTTGAGAACTTGACATGATACAAACATGAGTAGACACAAGAGCAAGTAAGGACTACAGTGTACAGTTGCTGTCATAGCTGAGATATTGAACTATAATCATGAAAATAACTCTATGAATTCAGTTCTCAAAACAGCCCAATAAAGCACGGTGGTACTAATCCCATTTTAGAAATCAGGAAACTGAGTCTCAGTAAGATTAAATGTCTTGCCAAAGTTAGTAAATGAAAGAGTCAGGATTTGATCCCCAATCTTCAGACTCCAGTTGGATACATTTTTCATAATATCATGAGATTTTTCTTTCACTTATGAAACTTACCCTGATGGATCAGATTTCAGATTAAACCAGGAAGTCAGGAATGAAATTGCTTTACTAGGACTAATGTTGGGTTTGAGGTTGGAGATTAGATAAGAGAGTGAAGAACATGGAAACATGAATCATTTTTCTATTTTCAGTTTAAAATATTCACAGAACACACATTCTCAGACTGATGTTTCCAATCCCAACCTTCTATTTTACAAGGATTTAACAGCAAGTACCCTGGGTAAAGTTAGGAGAAGTCTCTTCCTACACTCAACCTGGAATCATAATAGATTTGTTTCTAGGAAATGTAAAGGATTTCCTATAAGCATAAATCTCAAATTATCTTAAATTTTTAAAGATATGAACCTGGACAAAATATGATAGCACATGAAGGAAACAATGAACAACAATAGCCCAACATTTCAAATACAGTTGACTTCCCGGAAAATGTCTGACTTCTTATTCTAAATCACTCCTCAAGAGAATCTAAAGAATTTCTCCTGAATTCCTAGAATGCCATTCTGGTCCTTTCCATGGAAACCCACTGTATGTCTAAATACACACAGACACAGACATGTCCCTGGCATTGGGGACCGATAACTTAGAAATGAAATTATTATACAAGAAACACCACAGGCCTCCTCTATGAGAAAATTGAAGCTTCTATAGCAGATTACTTTATAATTCACCAAAATGACAACAGCTGAGGAATGGTGCTTCATAAAGGATAAGCCTAAACTGGCCCTGGTGGCTCAAGCCTATAATCTTAGTTACATGGAGGCTGAGGCCACAGGATCCCAAGTTCAAGGCCTGCCAGGGCTACAAAGTGAGTTCAAAGCCAGTCTGGACTACTTAGTGAAACCATGTATCAAAATAAAAAGCAAAAAGGTGGGCCAGCAATATGGCTTAACCAGTAAAGAGACTTGTTACCAGTCCTGATGGCCTGAGTTCAATGCCCAGGACCCACAGGTTGGAAAGAGACCACATGACAGGAGAGAACTGATTTCTGAAAGTTGTCCTCTAACCTTTACACATGTGCAATGGCATGCATGCATGCACACACATACACACACAAAATTAATTTTAATTAACTAATTAAAATAAAGTGCCTGCCTAGCATGAATAAGGCCCTAGGTTCAATCTCAGTACTGCAAGAGAGAGATACTAAGCTCTGTAACACTGTCCACCATAAGTTTCCTTCTAGGCTCATGGGTAAGCATGAATTATGGTTTGTATATACAATGTTCATTATTATTTTCAAATAATGCCAACAGTTTTAAACTTTCTTTGCAAAATCAGGTGACCCACTGAGATTATTCTCAGTAGCAGGAATAGAAATGGTGACATGTTAACATTGAAGAGGGAAAAAAACCCTTGTGGCCATTCAAATATCTTTTCAAACCAACTAACTCTAGTTGACAAGATAACCAGAATATCTTTGCCTATATAAACAAATCCTCGATTTAATGACTGTTTTAGTTTCTTTTCCTGTTGCTGTGATAAAATACTATGACAGACGGAACTTAAAAGAAAAAGGGGTTTATTCTTGCTTATGTATAAGTTCAAGGGTACAGTCTATCATGGTGGGGAAGTCATGTCAGAAGGAGCTTGAAACAGCTGGTCACATCACATCCAGTCAGGAAACGGAGAGAGAGGAAGTGCTAGTGCTCGATTCTCCATTTTATACAGTCCAGATCTCCTGCCCAAGGAATAGCCCTACCCATAGTTAGAATGGGCCTTCCCATCTCAATTAACACAATCAAGATAATCCACCACAGGCATGCCTAGAGGCCCACTTCCCAGGTTATTCTAGACAAGTTAACCATTAGCACTTACAATCACAATGACCTCCATGCATATTCTAACACTTAAAAAACAATAACAATATATCGGGCTGGAGAGATGGCTCAGAGGTTAAGAGCACTGGCTGCTTTTGCAGAGGACCCAGGTTTGATTCCCAGTTACCCACATGGAGACTAACAACCTTCTGTAACTCTAGTTCCAGGGGAGCCAATGCCCTCTTCTGACCTCCGTGGACATTGTATGACATGGGTATACTTGCATGCAGGCAGTATACTCATACACATAAAACAAATTAAAAATAATAAAAATATATTTTAAAAAATACCAATATATAATGTAAAGGGGAAGGCTACATAAGTTTAAAATAAAAGTGGTAATCTTTTAAAGGCAAGGCAAAATAGTAAGAGTTCTGAACATGTTCCTTTTTATATTGTTTTTATTTTCTAGTATATACTATTCAAAAATTAAATAAAATAAAAAATTAACAATGACTTTATTCTATTTTTAACTTCTCAAATACTAGAGAGCTGTCACTGTGGGTTTTAAAAAAATATTTCATTTATTTTTATTTTGTGGTATGCGTGTATTGCCTGCATGTAGGTAACTGCACCCTTGTGCAATGCCTGCGGAGGACAGAAGACTTGTCGGATCCCCTGGAACTGCAGTTACTCAGGTCTTCTGTAAGAACAACCAATGTTCTTAACCTCTGAGTCATCTCTCCAGCCCCATGTTGCTGTGTTTTTACCTGCTCCTCCTGTGCTTTCTCTCCAGCCTGCAAGTGTAATGGCCATGCTGATACCTGTCACTTCGACATCGATGTGTGGGAGGTATCAGGGAATCGCAGTGGTGGTGTCTGCAACAACTGTCAGCACAACACTGAAGGTCAGCACTGTCAGCGCTGTAAGCCAGGTTTCTACCGTGACCTCCGGAGACCCTTCTCTGCCCCAGATGCTTGTAAAGGTAAGTAAACTCATGGGGCCTAGGATGATTTGTGCAAAAATGACAAACCCATCCTTCATTTTCCTGGTTCAAGGAAAAAGGTCATAAATTCTCAGTTAATTTCTTATCAATAAGTGATAAGAATTTTCAACTATTCAGTGAAAATAACACAATATTCATGAATGTAATTTCCTCTCTTACTCCCCACACAGTAGTTTCCTTGGTATCACATTTTGGAAAACAAGAGGACTAATAAGAGAAATGAACAGGGGGGATCTTCAAGATGATTTTTTAAATATTTTATTTATTATTTTAGTGTATAAGTGTATAGCCTGCATGTGTGTAAAGTGTACCATGCTGTGTAGTGCCCTTGGAGGTCAGAAGAAGGTGTTGGATTCCCCTGGAACTGGAGTTATGGATGGTTGTTAGCCGCCAATATAGGTGCTGGGAATTGAACCGGGGTCCTCTGCAAGAGCAGCTGACCCATCTCTCCAGCCTCCTTCAAGATGATCTTAAGAGTAAATATATGCACAAGGAGTGGGCAATAAATGAAAATACACTGACAATAGGGGTCACTTACACCATGACTGTTCTACTACCATTCACCTGGACAGTGAACCTGAACACTGAAAACTAAGGGTTTTCTTTCCATTATGAGTGCACTTGGGCTGGCACTGCTCAGTGTATCCCTTGTAACATGACTAACTTAAGGTGTAATAATTTTATGTTCATTCACCCTTAAGACACTAAACTCATAGAGCAGGCTCTGCTTTTCCCTTGGCATAACTCCAAGAAAACAGAGTAAGAATTTTAAAAGGTCTGCCTAATTCGTGTGGCATTACCACATGTGGATATAAAGACTTCATGCAGAGCCAAAGAATTGTCAAATAGGATGAAGAACTTAAATAGCACATTGGTTTTCACATGCCTGTCAACTCAGAAATGATTAGACAAGAGAAACCACTCGGACTGCTAATGGAGTTTGATGATCATGCCCTTCCTTTCCTACCTAGGACTCTGGGTTCTAGCTCAAAAATGGTGACCAGAAAGGAGCAATACAATGGGAAATAAGCACTTAGGACTATTTTTTTAAAGGAAAATCAAATTTCTCTTTAAAATGAAATTTTTTTTTTTTAACTTCAGGGAAATGATGAAATCTCTACACGCAGTTTAAATGGCTTTTCTTATTACAAGCTTGGTCTCTTAGCCAGTGGGGGGAACGGGGTAGAGAACAGCATAGCTCGCCGTCACCATTAAACTCCATGTCTAGATTTGTATCAGAGTATTTCACCAGGAATTGTAATTTAACCTGGCTCCTTGTTTGTTCTCAACCTTTCATTTTAACAGGTTTCAACCACATATAGAGTAGATGTGTTCATGCTACTTACTGCTGCTGGTGCTAAATACACACATATAATATGTGTAGAGAACATACAGTAAAACCTCAGAAATGAGAACTCATAACTGTTGTTTGCAAGCTACAAGGTGGGAAACAGCACTATAGGGTTTCTACTCCTTTATTGATTAACAACACCTGTGTCAAAATTAGATACATCTTCAGAATCCACAACACTTTGGAGACTAAAATAAAGAATTCTTTTTTTTTTTTTTTTTTTTTCGGTCTTTTTGAGACAAGGTCTCTCTGTAGGCCCAGCTGTCCAGGAACTCTATGTAGACCAGGCTGGCCTTGAACTCACAGACAGCCACCTGCCTCTGCCTCCTGAGTGCTGGGATTAAAGGTGTGCACTACCACACCTGGCTAAAATAAAGAATTCTTATCTACATATGTCAACTAAAGGGACTGCTTACAAATTACTTCAGTTTAGAGCCTGTTCAGTCCCAACACTTTTTTGTATATGGTATGTATAAATAAGTAGGAATATATATGTATGTATGCATGTGTGTATTCCATAGCCTCAGAACACTGGTACAAATGTCTAAAAGTTAAAATGTATTACCAAGTAGATAAAAGAGGAAAAGAAAAATAATTTGACATTGAGTAATCGAGGTAAATTCACTCTGTTATAGGAAGGTAACATATTTTTAAAAGTATATAGCATTACTTGAAATGTTATATTGTACAGCATACCTATTCACTTATTTATCCATTCATTTATTCAGTATCTATATATTGAGTGCCTATTGTGTGCTCAGAGCTTAGAATGCATCAGAGAGCAAAACAAAGATCCTTGCCTTTGAAGAGCATTTGTTCTAGTATATTTGATAAATATAATTGATAATGATATAATATGTAAGAAGGTAGTAAGTGCTGATGTTTCCAAAATGGAAAAATTTATACATGGTAAGTAGAATCGAAGTGCCAACAGTTGGGAACAGGAAGAGGAGTGGCAAAGAGCAGCACTGAATAGGATAATGAGGGAGAGGGCCTCATGCCTGGGTAGGGATGATGAACAAAGATTTGAACACATTGAGAAAGATGGCTAAATATTTAACTGAGGAGAGAACACTTATCTTTCTGCTCCCACCCCAGCCATCTCCTGCCACCATGCCTCCCCACATGACGGACTCTAGTTCCTTTGGAACCGTAAGCTCAAATGAACTCATCCTTCTATAAGTTGCCATGGTTGTAGTGTCTTATCACTGCAATAGAAAAGTAATTAGGACAGCCACCACCACCACCATCTTGACTCCAACCATTTTTTTTCTTACTTGTCAAGTCCTTTCTCAGCTGTACTCAGCCATAGGCCCTTGTCTTACCTTGGGTTGGTCACCAGAGTGATGATGACTGGCCAACCAAGGGTGTACAGCTCAGTGGCTACCCACAGGCCCAACCCCTGGCAAGAGAGGTGTGCAGAGGGGTAGCGTAGTGTGTGGTGCTTGCAGGCACTGCCAGTGTGGAGCAGACCAGTGCAGCAGCCAAATGTCCCTTCATAATTTTTTTGACATTCTCTAGTGTCTGTATTTTTTTTATTTGAATTTTTGTGCATTTCATACAATACATCTTGATCATATTTAGCCCCCTCCCCTATCTGTACCCTCCCATACCCCCCACACCAGATTTCACACATTCTGTCATGTATTTTAAGGCCTATCAAGTCAAATTTGTTTCCCCAAATGTCCCTTAGCATGAATACATCCACTGGAGCCTGATCAACCTATCTAGCACCACTCCCTTAAAGAAGACCAACTCTTCCTTACCCAGTAGTGATCAGTTGCCAATAGTTCTGCTAAGGTTGGGACTTGTTAACATTTTGCTACTTCTATGCTGTGTGGTTTGAGTTTGCATGGTCTTGTGCATGCTGTCACCATTGATGTTATGAATAAGTTCCAAGAAGCATGGAAAACTTCCCTTGTGTTCACCCACCACCCCTTACTCTTACAATCTTTCTGCTCCCTACTCTGAAATGGTCCCTGAGCCCTGAGTGGCAGAGATTTAACATAGGAGTCCTGTCCAAGGACGCACACTCTGCAATCTTTTATGCTCTACATAATTGTAAGCCAATTGTGGGTTTCTGTATTAATCACCATCTGTTGAATGACAAAGCGTCTCTGGTGAGAGTTGAGAGATGCATTAGTGTTCTCTCTGTCCCCTGCTCCCCTGTGTTCCATGAGCCTTAGGTGTGGAGGCTCCACTGTAGATGTGTCACTTAGGACTGGGCATCTCTCAGACACTTATTCTCTGTTTGAACAGTTGTGGAACTCTGTAATAGTCTCTGTTGCAAAAAGAAACTTCTCTGATGAATTATGAGAGGTATATTTGTCAGGCTAGTCTGGATATCTCAGGTGGGACAAAAAGGAGGGAGCCTAGCCACCCCTACCCCCGTGATTTTAGACAAACTCAATTTCTGACATTTCACTGATATTTGAGCATCATTGTGAAGTAGAAAGCAGTCACTTTCATTAAAGAGGAGAGGACCATGAGGAACAGTGAAAGGCACTCTGAAAGAATGACTGGGATTGGCTAGATTTTAGAGGTGTTCATTGCCTAGGGCATTGGAAGCCACTATAAAAATTTAATTAAAGTGTTATTCATTTGCAATATATTTTAATGATATATAGTTCAGATTAAAGTATTACAAATTATTCACTGCCGTTTATCGTGTGTGTGTGTGTGTGTGTGTGTGTGTGGTGTGTGTGTGTGTGTGATTGTGGGCACATACTTGCATGTGGAGGTCACAGGGCAACTTTCAGGCGTGAGTTCTCACCCTCTACCTTGTTGAGGCAAGGTCTCTCTTGTTTCTGCTGCTGTGATGTGTACTCCAGGCCAGTTGGCCCACAAGCTTCCAGTAGATTCTCCAGCCTCTATGTCCCACTGCACTGGCTTTTATTTTTAATATTTTATTTTTTTTAATATTTTATTTATTATTTTTATTTTATGTGTATGCATGTATTGCCTGCATGTGTGTAAGTGCACCTGTGTTGTGCAATGCCCATGGAGGACAGAAGAGGCTGTTGGATCCCCTGGGATTGGAGTTACAGACAGTTGTTAGCTGCCATGTGGGTGCTGGGATTCGAACCCGGGTCTTCTGCAAAAACAGCCAGTGTTCTTAACCGCTGAGCCATCTCTCCAGCCCATTTTATTTTTAATTATGTGTATATGTGTGGGGGCGGCATGGGGTGGATGTAAACATAAGTGCAAGTGTCTGAGGAGGCCAGAAGAAGTTGTTGGATCCCCTGGAGCTGAAGTTACAGGAAGTTGTGAGTCACCCAGTGTGGGTGCTGGGAACCAAATTTTGGTTCTCTGGAAGAGAAGCAAGTGCTCTTAACTGCTGAGCCATCTCTTCAGATCCCAGGCCTTATCTTTAAACCTGGGTTCCAGGTAGTCAAGTTTACATAACATGCACTTTTACTTACTAAGCCATCTCCCCTGCCATGACATATGAGTTTTTATTTTTTTTTAATTTTAATTATTTTATTTTATGTGTATGAGTGTATTGCCTGCATGTAGGTAAGTGCACCCATGTCGTGCAATGCCCGCAGAGGTCAGAAGAGGCTGTGGGATCCCCTGGGACTGGAGTTACAGTTAGCTGCCATGTGGGTGGTGGGATTCGAACCCGGGT